AGGGCACCTGTGTGCACATATCCATATACCCATCCACAGACACACACATATATACATAATTTTTTATTTTTTTAAATAAATCTCTAAAACTAAAATATATGATTATGTACAGTTTAAACATGAGTTTGCTTCCACATTGCATTTCACACCCATAAAAAAAAACTAATTTCCTTTGAAAGAATTTTTTTTAAATATAAATTACATTTTTAAGAATATTTTAAAAAGACAAGAAAAAAGAAGGAAAATTTCTGATTTTCAATGCCAACATCTGATAACTTACAAATCTATTTCAAAGTTTAAACAGTAAATATTATCTTGGCTTTTATTTTGCAAAAAATCTACTTTTATAAATATTCTAGAACTAATGTAATTCAAGATAACCTATAAAGTAAATACAAAAAGAAAAAGGCGTGTCATGCAATGCTTCTCACAAAAGCCTAGTTTTTGCTGGCCAATGATCATGACCTTGTACTTCTCTCTCACCTGATACTCAGGTCTTAGTTTCCACTGAAGAGAATGTTCTCCTCCTCAGACACATAGAGAGCCCTGATGCTGCCAGCGTGTCCTCGGAACTCAATGGGCATCTCCCTAGCCTGCATGATGTTCAGAAGGTGGATCTTCCGATTGGATGATAGAGCCATCAGATCTCCCCCATTATAGTGGATGATCCTGTTTTGGTCCTTCCTGGGTTTCAGGATGTGGAGGGGTTGGGTTGTAGGAAAGAGGAGTTAGTGACCTTCCTGGGCTTCCACATTACTTGACTTTTGCCTACACTAGTAGAATAACAGGAAATGTAGGGCCTTTCAGAGGCAAGGCCAAGTGATAATGGGACCTGATGATCCCTGCCTCACACCACAAAAATCTATGCCAGAGAGGATTAAACCCTGAAGACACTTGTTAGTGTGTGTGTGTGTGTGTGTGTGTGTGTGTGTGTGTGTGTGTGTGTGTGTGTGTTCTGCTTATATATGCTAAATTGCCCAAAGATAAACTAAACTGAGTGACAGTTCCCAAACTTGGTTGACCATGGAAACCTGTTTTCTCATAGGAAACTTTAGAGGTATATAATTAGGAAGTTCCATGTGCACTGAATTTCCTCTTCCTGTCTTTGCCCATTAACCAGTATCCAAGGA